GCGTCGTACACGTCAACCTCTCGTCTCTCAGATTTGATTTGTGGGATGATTGAGAGTCTGTCTTTTTGTTGGAGTCATTGATCCATCGATTTTCTCTCTCGATTCCGATCGCCAAACACGATTGATTGTTCAATCACGATGAAGACGATGAAGATGAAAATCGTTATGCTCGCGTTTCTGGTGACTCTCTCTTCAATTGAAATCGGATTCGCTTCTCCGAACACCGTCCCTGCTTTCCTCTGGTCTCCGCATCTCCAGTTACGCCTCTCTCCCTCTCTCTCTGTATATACTTCTCATTGTCAATTTTACGACCCATCGCGATGACATTTTATAAAGGTCTCTGCTTTCTGATGTGTTCTGAGATAATTTTGGATTTCAAAATTTTGATAAAGTCTGAGACTTTTGAGCTGTTCTTGAAAATCTGATTCGTGGGTTCGAACTGCTTTAGTTTGTGGCTAAGATTTAGTTTGTTTGATATTTTGAGACTTTGTGAACTTTGTTTTAAATCTGATTGCGGATTCGAGGTTGTGGCTAAAGTTACCGATTTGACCTTTTGAAAATCAGGGCTGGTAATGGTGGAATGGATGAGGCTGTGAATTATCAGGTCATGTCTGCAAAGGATCTAGTTGACTCTGTTTTCACTCAAGGAAGATGGTCTAACATTCTTGTATGCTCCTTCTTATTAGATTTCAACAACTTCAACTCAATGAATGTCAACTTGCTCCTTTTTATTTTGAATGTTTTTTTTTCTTTTGTTAGTGCTCTGAGAAGAAAGTTGAGCAGGCTGTTGATGTTGCACTTGTGTTCATCGGTAGAGAGGTAATAATACTTTCTTTTATCTTTCAGAAAACATATCCTTTTCGAGTCTATATGATGTAGGAGCGTTGTTTTAAGATTAGCATATATGGCGATTATTCATTTTTTTGTTTTGTTTTTATATCGTGAAGAAACTCGTGTATCTCTGTTCTCCATCTTCTTTGCTATGCTGAGAATACTAATAGTCGCATTCTCGTCTTCCTGCAGTTACTGTCTTCTGATGTTTCTTCCAAAAGGAATTCGGAACCTTCCCTAGTTAACACATTGAATGTAAGTTCAAAGTTTTTCTTTTTCTTTTGGAAACATATTACCTTCCATAACACATATCTGTGACAAAGATTTTTCATTTTAACCTCCACAATACTTGAACATCCAAATTTTTTTTTTTTTTGACAGGGTCTCTTTACATCGTCCAACTTCTCATTGGCATTCCCATACATTGCTGCGCCAGAGGAAGAAAGGATGGAGACTTTGTTGCTTTCAGGGCTTAAGAAAGCTTGCCCTCACAATGTAGGAGTCAGCAATATTGTGTTCTCTGATTCTTGCTTTGTTGAGGATGGGACTATTCAGAAACTATCAGACCTGCAGTCTTTCAAAGTAATGTTCCTTGCTCTTTATGTTCTCGTTTTCACTAATTCTAATGGTATCATCCCTATTATTCTATTCACTCCTAATATACTCAGTAAAAATAATTGACAGGATCATTTGCTTGCTAGAAAAGAAACAAGGAAAGAAGGAGAAACTGACTTGGTTGTGCTCTGTTCCGAGGGTTCTGAATCAAAGGGTCAATCTGGCCAGTCACATTCAGAGCGTAAGTTGAAAGATCATTACTTCAAAAGAATGTTATAATTTGAGAAGAAAGAAGTTAAACAATTCTATGACCTATTATTCTGCAGGTGAAAGCATCTCTGAACTTGTTAGTTCTGTAGAACAATCTGGCAGTAAATATACAGCTCTATACGTTTCTGATCCTTATTGGTACACATCTTACAAAACTCTCCAAAGGTTTCTAGCTGAAACTGCTACAGGAAACAGCACCGTTGGTGTTGCTACAGCCTGTGATGAGCTCTGCAAATTTAAGTCATCACTTTTGGAAGGCATTCTAGTGGTAAGAATTTCCTCTTTGTTACGCTTCTTGCTCATCTTCTTGCTTATGAACATTATAAAACTGACTAAAACTCATCTGACATACTTCTCAAACTAATATGCGTCCATCTGTTTTCTTTATTGAAATGCCTCCGTTTATGTCTTTTTTGCAGGGAATCGTTTTCCTTCTCATCTTGATCAGTGGACTTTGTTGTATGGCGGGTATCGATACACCAACTAGATTCGAGACTCCTCAAGATTCTTGAGCTTGTTGACCCTTTAAAAGAGTCATCTCCACCTTTTGCTTTGTTTTTGCCTGTGACGGGTCTTTTCTTCTGCATAGTGCGTATGGTGAAAAAGGTACTTCAATGTCGATTATTACACTACTTTTAAAAAACAAAAAGATTGCATATGCTATTAAAAAAGTTCCCTTTGTAATATTTATTCATCTTGTTTGTGAGTCTTTCCTAAACGTTATAAGTTAATAATGGAGGACGAGTGAGAACCAGAGACACTGGTGATACTATATTCTTTTATATATATGTTTGATTTTATACAGAGGTTTCTTGGTTGTACCGTACTCGTGTCATTTTGGGGATTTGGAGATAGATATGGTGGAATAACTCAGGACAACAATGTTGGTAATATGACATGTTTACTAGTACTTGCAAAGTGTTTTTTAGGTTTAAGGGAAAGGAAAGGAGAAGAAATGATTCAAGAGTTATTGCATAGGTTTTCTGAATAACTAAGAGTATGTTTGGTTTTATCAAGTAAAATTAAATTGAAACACTACTTAAATGGATTGATAGGTTTGTTAGACCATGTTTATCTAGGTTTTTTTTATTTAAAAATAATAATAATAAGTAGCGGGCTGCTATGTGCCAGTGGCGTCCGCGAACAGTGTAAGAAACTCAATAAAAACAGTGTAAGAAACTCACTAAAATCGATTTTTAATTAGTAGTTTTTGTAACCGATCTTTAAGGATTTTGTGGGGGTACACGCACTAAGAACTCCACTAAGGACCCAGATAAACATGCTCTTAATGTGGTGTAAACAGTTATAAAGCTTTATATTCTATTTCTTAACATAATTTGATTCAGTATTGTGTAATTTTAGCATATGCTTGGGTCCTTATGGTCCCTAATGCATGGACCTATTGACAAAGTCATAAGATCAAATCTTTCAGATTCTCTAGTTGACCCATCTCTCTCCATAAAGAAGAGCATTATTAAGGAATAAAAACGAAAATGAAGTGTTCTACTGATATTTTTTGACCGTATACTTCTCCATTTATATTATATAGTTTGGCTAATTTTACATTTTATTCGTATCCTACTTCTCTTTCAAACTATGTGCTAGAAGTCTATAACAAAGTCGGTATATTGACTAATTTTGAAAAAGTTGCACAAGGTAAGCATCATCTATATAGTCCATATTTATCTTCGACCTTTTTCTTTTACTGTCACATAATATCAAAACTTATGCAAAAACTATTTAAACTATGAAAAAATAGAGGGAAGCACATGAGCACAGGAGTTTGAGCCTAAAGAGTAGTGAATATCCCACTGCTCTGCCACTCCACCAACTGACATCACATTGTACCCATTTTATGCCTTTTTATTTCCCTCTTCTTGTACTACAAAAATATTTATTACATTAAAATAACAACTACAAAATTGAAATAGTTTCTTTCAATAATGAAAATTGTGAAATAACAAACCCCTTAACAAAAAAAAGTTGTGAAATAACAATTTTAATTCATCTCTTATTTATTTTGGTTTTGCATACCTGAATCACATAGGACGTGCCCGTTCCTATTCTTCTTTATTTCTGTTCAAGTATTAGAATAGATGTTAACATATGAGATGTTTTTTCTTACAGAAATTTGGTGAACATATGACATGTTTTTCTTCTTTGAGAAATATGACATGTTGACATCATAATAATTAAGAAATATTATTAAAACGATGAAAATGTACGGCCACGCAAGTAACCTACTCGAGCAGGTCCATTTGATGTTTTCGCTAACTTTGAGATTCCACGTTCTGATTTGTTGTGTATGAAATACACATACATACATGCATATCTTTTGTCGAAAAATATACATATCTTACGGTCTTTGTTTTACAGCTTACTTATTTTGGCCCCTTGCTTATTTTATAAACATGCATGTTTATTTTTATTCGTGCCCTTTCGAGTACCTGCTGGGATAAGTTAGCTAGGGGTACACGTAAATATAAAGATTCGCTTCTTCTTTCATAAAATGTATACGAGAATTTGTCTCTCATTTCTCTCAACATTTTTTCCCCTAAGTTATTTTCTTAGTAAGTACTAAAATTAGAAACTTATGGTTCCTATCAACTTACTAAAACCAGGTCTATTTTGTGCATGTGGGTCTTCTTCCTCAAACAACGTATTATTGTATTTTTCAAAGAGAATCTATTTGACCTAGATTAACCAAAACCTTTAACTCTTAGCACCATATATAATATACACATGTTGCTCAAAAAATAAAATAATATACACATATATTTAAATATAGCATGTTGATTTATAAATAAGAATATCAACTTTTTTTGCCAAGGGGTTTACAAATTTCAAGACGGAAAGGGACTGCACTTAATATTTATCAAGGAAAGAGATTCAACAATTTAAGAAATAACAATGTGGTGGTTCATTAGTTTCCACTGGATGATGAGTCATCCTATTGATTAGGGGTGGGCACAAGCCAAGTACTTGCCATTTTTGACCTACTTGGTACTTGGCTTGGCTTGTTCGAGTAATAAAATTTTGGACTTGTATTTGGTTTATTAAAAACGAGTACTTGCACTTTCAAGTACTTGCTAAAAAATGATATACTTGCAAGTACTTGCTCTATTTTACTACTTGTTGCTTCTAAACTAATTTATTTAATAATAATTTATTAGCTTTTGCTACTTAAACCTTGTATATAAATTTTATTTAATAATAGTTTATTAATTTTTGCTACTTAAACCTTGTATATGAATTTTAAAAATATTTAGTTAGTTATAATTATGATTTAAATTTTTTTTAATAAATAATATTTATTTACTTTTCATATGTTTTAAATCGATATATGGTAAATATAAAATTAAAAGAAAACTCTAAAATATTTCTATTATATATCATTTTTAATTCATTTATTTTAGAAACAAGTAATTTGATTATAATCTAGAGATTTTTATGTCTAAAAGTAAAAAACGAATAATAAATCAACTAATAAATCACGAGTAACAAGTCAACAACGCCAAGTAGTTACTTTTATTTTAGTACTTGATACTTGTCTTGTACTTGTAAGTAATTGAAATAAACGACTTGATACTCGACTTGAACAAAACGAGTACTCGACTTTAAGAGCCAAGTACGAATCAAGTAGCGAGTACAAGCCGAGTAACAAGTAATTGTCCCCACCCCTACTATTGATATAGACTAGAGATCGATTCTCCAAATTGTTAGTTTTCTGTGTGACTAGGCGGCGTGGCAATTCTCTAGTTTAGCAACCGGATGAGCATGATCAATCGTTTTTCGGCTTGTACAACTCTCTCTTACAATTAACAAAAAAAAAACATTTCAAGAGATGAAAATATGGCTAGACGATATAATACACCAGTAATCTATGTTTAATAGCGTATGTATGTGTATGCATGTGCCTGTGTGGGTATGTGTATATGAATTTTTTTTTTTTGATCAAAGTGTATATGAAAATTTATGTGCATGTATTATTATGAAATGTATGTTTTATGTGGACCCATATCTCTTAATGGCATCTGCTAAAGCTGTAAAGCTTTTGCAGCTTAAGAAAATTAATAATATGAGGATGGAGAAGCATGGAAGAACCTTATCTCTTTAATTATTTTTATTTCTAGAATCTCTTTGATTCTTCATTTAGTTTATTACAATTTACGACTGGTGTTTATTTTATTTCTCATTAATTTTACGGTTCTTGCATATCTACCTTCTTAGGGGCATAAATGAAAGAATGCATCTCAAATCTTCTCCCTTTTCGATTTAGTTATTTTATTCCCTCTCACCTCTTTACCATCTTCTATATAAATAGAGAGCGAGTGAGTCTTCTAGTATTCACAATATATATACAGAAACAAAACATATGTATAAACCTCCTCTTCCTCTATATTGTTACATTCGAGAAGAACAATACATCACATATACACATTCTGATATATGTAGTTTCATATATATATATTTGTATGTGACCAAAGCACTGTACAGCCAAGGATGACTTGCCGATTTAAACTATCTTTTAATACTTTATTCAAACATTTTTGTTTTAAATTCATTGGTCTGAAAAGTTAGAAGTAAATTAGGATATATTCAGTCGAGATCTCCCCTTGGAAGATTGCTATATATATGTAGGTATTTCGTATTATAAAGGTTAAAACATGATCGGCAAGTTGTCCTTGGCTATACAATTCTTTGTGTCGCGGATAGGTGAATGTGGTGGTAAGATAACAAGGTCTCAGGCCGAGAAACAAATTAAGCCGAATAACGAGGTAATCCAGAGTTTTATTTTTGAAATATATTTGATTAATTAACATGATCACTACCATATTGTTTGATGATGAGTGGTATTATATTTCTCTTTCTTTCTAGTATTTTATATATTGGGAGAAACCTCATACGAGTCTAAACTGATCTTTGTAATACGTGGAAAACCCAAATATTTCTAACCAAAAACCAAAAGAAAAGCTACATTAGTTCATCTATCTCTCATTTGTTACTACAGTTTTGCAGTATTGTGAGAGAGATGAAGGATGGTTTTACACTTTACATATAACTATGAATCTATCTATCAAACACGTGCTTCTCAGACTTTTATAAAAAGACAAATGTGTGTAATATTGTTGAGTAAAAATTTTGTTTTAAATTACTATCGAAAACTATGAGTAATTACACTAAAATATAAAATCAAAATTAGAAACATATAATTAAATATTAAACCACAAACAAAATACCACAGTAAGTTTTGTAATATTGATGTTGTATAGTTCTAGTTTTATATTTTAAATCTTATACGTTTTTTTACAAAAAGATATGTAATTTAAATTTATAAAATGATTTTGAAATATTTATGAGATAAATTTTTTTAAGGATTAAAACGATAAACAACAAAATTCTTTATGAATACAATTTTTCAAATTTTCAAAATATCATAGGGTAAAGCGCATGACCTCGAAAACATTTTTGGATTTTGATGTTATCTTTGGGAGACGATGAAAATTTTCAAAACAATTGTTAAAAAATTTTAACACTATAATTTGGTTAATGGGTCTTTAAATAAATATATTAGCAAGGAATACATTTTTGGAAATTTTTAAAAAATCATAGGGGTTAGGGCTTGAGCTCGAAAATTTAGTGGATTTTGACGTTATCCTAAGGAGACGATGAAACATTTTCAGAACAACAGGTAAGCAGTTTCAACACTATAATTTGGCTAATAGATCTTTAAATAAGTATACTAGCAAGGAATACATTTTTTAAATATTCAAAAATATAAAGGCGTTAGCCCACAACCTCAAAATATTTGGTGATTTTTTAAGCTATTTCAACACTATAATTTGGTTAATGGGTATTTAAATAAGTATAATAC